CCACACAACACATAGCTGGAGCACAGACTCTTCATCGCCCTTCCCGCTCCCCCCCTCTTCCCCGTGGATGGGTTCCACTCGATTTCCTCTAATTCTCATCGCAGCGGTAAACGTGTCATGGGACACGCCATGCCGTGACGGGTGATCAACGCACAGAGGCGGGTGCGGTGGACTGACGAGGTTCTTGACGGCCATCAGGAGCACCCACTCCTCCCTCCACCCACTCTACCCTTTCACAGCATTTGCTTCATTTCAAACTGTTCATAGCCATGCTCAGGCTCCGCTGCTTGGCTCTCAGCGGCGGTGCGGGCGGGCTGGGCGGGCTGGGGGCGCGCCTGGTGTCGCGTCGTTTGGCGTGTGCTGCGGCGCGCGCAGATGGTGGCGGGTGCGATGGGCGCGATGGGCATGGTGAGGAGAGCGAAATGGCAGCGGGTGAGCACGAGCATGTGGTGTTCTTTGATGGCGAGTGCCTGCTTTGTCTGGGGAGCGTCTCGTGGCTGAGTGAGCATGATCCAGACGTTTTGCTGCGGTTTGCGCCGATGCAGGGCGTAACGGCCCATGCGCTCCTGCCAGCGGCTGTGCGCGACGATCCCGAGTCTTTTGTGTACTTGCGGCGCGGCGAGCAGCTGGTGCGGTCGCAGGCAGCGTTGGCTGTGGTGCAGGCGACTGGGTGCGAGCCGTGGGCGAGCATGGCGCGAGTGGCGGGGGCGGTGGTGCCACAGGCGCTTGCCGACGCGGTCTACGGCCTGGTGGCACGCCACCGGCTGCAGGTCTTTGGGCGGGTCGAGGCCGACAAGCCCGGAACGTCGGCGTGCCCGTTGCCGTCTCCAGAGCAGGCGCGGCGGCTGCTGCCTTGACTAGTGGCGAGCGGGCGCGAGGAAGAACTCGATGACTGCGTTGCGCAGCTGGGCGTGGTTGATGGTCGGCGGAGTGTGGGGCATCCCGTTGAGAACCACGCGCTCGACGGCGTAGTCGGCCGGCGAGGCCGCATGGCGGACGACGGTGCAGTTGAGCGGGGCGAGAAAGACCTTGGCAAAGACTGGCGAGCCGAGGATGTACTCATCAGATCCGCCGAGCGGGTAGAAGCCCCACGACGCAAAAGCGGCCCACGACGAGAGCTCTCCGTAGTCGTCGTTGCCCGGGATGCCACCGGGCTCGGTAGTGTAGACCTTGTCGAGCAGCTTGCGAGTGATCCGCTCGGTCAGCGCCCGCCCGCCGGGCACAAGCGCCGGCTGCCACGGGACGAGTAGGTCGGGTTCGTTGCCGGCCCAGTAGAACGGGTTGGGGAGGAAGGTCGACGGGTCGTCGAACGAGCGGTCGAGGAACTTGCCGACAGCGTGGAGGAAGGCGGCCGGTCCGCCCATGAGCTCTGCGAGCGCAGTCGTGTTCTGCGGGACAAAGTACGACCACTGCCAGGCGTTGCCCTCGGTGAAGAGCGTGCCCCACTCGATGTCGTTCGGGGGCAGTCGACGGCGCCGGCGCAAGTCCGACCGCACATGATGCCGCGGCCGCTGTTCCACAGCTTTCGCGGAGCGGCCTGCGCGCGGGCGGCAAAGTAAGCCGCGTCGTCGGTCTTGCCCAGCGCCACCGCCATGTTAGCAATGGCCCAGTCGTCGGCGGCGTAGGCGAGCGTCCTCGATACCGATCGCGAGCTCTTGTCCGAGCACACGTAGCCGAGGCGGACGTAGTCGGCGACGTCGGAGCGCCCGGCCTCGCGCTGCGACTCCATGGCCGAGGCGCGAAAGGCGGCGTAGAGCGAGGTCAGGTTGTAGTTGCGGATGCCTTTGGCCCAGGCCTCGGCCACAATAAGGTCGGCATGGGTCCCGATCATGCAACCGGTGTAGCCGTTGGCCAGAGGCCAGCGCGGAACGTACCCGCCCTGCGCCCGCATCAGATCGAGCGAGTGCACAAAGTCGCCGAGGTACGCCGGCTGCAGGATCGAGAGCAGGCCCATCTGCGAGCGAAAGACGTCCCACAGCGAGCCATCGGACGCGTACGCGTTGTGCGCATCGTCGAGGCGGTGGACCTTGCTGTCAAAGCCGAGATACACCCGACCGGCCTCGAGATAGTTTGTCGGCGCCGAGTGGGCGTGGTAGAGCGCGGTGTAGTACTTGGTAGCCAGCTCGGGCACGGCGCCGCCGTCGTCGACCACCGCCGCGTTGCCCAGGACCGCCTCCCAGTCGGCGATCGACGCCGCCAGCGCAGCGTCAAAGTCGGATGCGGTCGCCTGCTCGTGCGCAAGGTTGGCCGCGGCCTGCTCGGCCGAGATGATCGAGATGCCGAGCGCGAGCTCGAGCTTGCCGGCGCAGGCGGAAGCGCCCGCGAGCTTGATCCAGCCTCCGGCGCCAGGCCCGGCTGTGGTGCCGGGTCCGGCAGCCGGCTCGCCGTTAGTGCCCCAGGTCCCGACCTCGATTACACACCCAGGCGGAGCGGTGAGAAGTCCGGAAAAGTGGGCGTAGACGCCACCAAAGCGTTCCGAGAGCGAGCCCATGACATGGATGTGGCCCGAGAGCGCCACAGCGCCCGACGTACCGTCGGGGGAAGCAACGACTACGCTCGCGTTGGCGCACGACTTGTCCTTGACCACGTGCGAGGCTGCAAGGTAGAGGTATGTCTCGTGGTCATCGAGGGTGTAGCGATGAAAGGCGGCGGTGGGGCGAGCGGTGAGCTCGACGTTGGCCTTGCAGCTCTCCAACTCTACCGCGTAGTAGCCGGGAAAGGCCGACTCCCTAGAGTGGGAGAAGCGCGATGCCCAGCATCCGTCAAACTTGGTGGTGCAGCTCTGATGCGGTGGTTTGCGGGCGAGCATGACGCCGATGACGCCGAGATCAGGTGCGCCTGCGCCCTGCATGTGCAGGTGGGAGAAGGCGCGGATCTTGCCGTCGACGTCATCGTGGTAGTAGTAGCCACCAAAGTGGTTGAAGATCTCGTAGATCAGGCCTGTCGTATCCGGCGATGCCCGGACGAGACCAAACGGGGCCTGTGCTCCCGGCGGCGTCGACCCGATACCGAATCCGGTCCCGCCTGTTCCGATGAACGGGTCCACATGCCGGCCGAGTGGGCCGGGCGCGGGGCTGGAGAGAGTGGAGTCGGGAGTGGCGACGGCGGTGGTGAGAACCAGGGCGAGGGCGAGGGCGAGGGTGAGGGCGAGGGAGAGCAGGTGCATGGTGTGTGTGTGTGTGTGTGTGTGTGTGTGTGTGTGTGTGTGTGTGTGTGTGTGTGTGTGTGTGTGTGTGTGTGTGTGCGTGTGCGGTAGAGGTGTGTGTGTGTGTGTGTGTGTGTGTGTGTGTGTGTGTGTGTTTGAATGGATGTGGTGCTGACAGGCGCACGTGCTGCTCTGCACACTGCCCAGACTGATGGATGAACATAACTGCCCAGACTGATGGATGAACATAGCTGTGGGATGATCAGATATGGGCATGTGCGAGAATAAGCAAGAATGGGCTTCGATCCCCCCCCCCCCCCCCCCCCCCCTCCCCCCCCCGCTCCCCCCCTCTCTTCCTCCCCGTACTCACTCTGCCTCTCTGCTCAACGGCACTCGTCTTGCGACAAGGGGTGGTGGGCGTATGGCGACAGAGCTTGCCCAGCTGCAGGCTCAGCTGCAATCGACCTTTGCCGCCCCGTCTGCTGTGCGCATTACCCAGTCGAATGCGGTGGTATGTGCTGCCTGTGCGACTCCCTTTGTGTGGTGGTGTTGGGGAGGGGGGGGGGGAGGGGGGGTGGGGGACTCACTGCGGACGACACGGACACGGACACGGACACGGATACGGACACGGACGACGCTGGCGTGATCTGCCCCGACAATGTGCAACATTGATGACAGGAGCTTGTGCAACGACTCAAAGAGCTCCAACTGGTTGACGTGCTGTTTACCCGCGATGGCTCGGCGTTCGTGACCCCGCAGCATCTGGAAGATGAGGTCGCCGACGAAGTGGCACTGGCCGGCCGTGTCCGTATCGCTGAGGTCGCCGACACGCTTTTGGTCGAGTACGTCGAGGTCGAGGCCGCGGTCCGCCGGCGCCTGGCCCGCAACCCTACAGCGCTGGTTCTGGTTGGTGACGAGATCTTGCATCCGCCGTATCTCGAGGAGTTGATGTCCGAGGTACTGGATGAGGCGATCGCTCATGGCGTGCTTCCGCTCGCTACGGCCGTTGTCCGCGTCGCGCTTCCATCAAGCTTTCTCCGGCAGCAGCTTGAGGCCCTGGTCTCGCGCGACTCGCGGCTCGTTCTTCTCGACGCCGCCCTCTACTCGCAGGTCTTTCTCGACCGTATCATGGCCCGGGTCCGTGGCCGGCTCCGCGCCGCGCTGCTTCCGACTCGACTCAACGTAGTGCTTGCTGCGAGTGGAGCCGAGGGCCACGCTGAGCGAATCGAGGCTCTGGTGGCCCGCGAGGCCGGCTCCGGCAAGCTCGACGGGACGCTCGCTGGCTCGGGCGTTGCTGCCACATGGGTGCCGGATGTGTACACCCAAGCGCGGGTCGACGCCGTCGAGCGCCAGCTCGAGGTCAACTCGGTCGTCCTCTACTCGGTCCTTGCCGAGTGCGGGTTTGACGGCGGCGCGGCCTTTGCGCATGCGCGGTGGGGCGAGTCAGGCGTGGCGCTCGAGTCTGTCTTTGTCGCTTCGTCGCACCTCGACGTAGTCGACGCCATTGCAGGCGCTGCGCTGGCGCCCGATGGCCCGGGCTTTGTCTCGCTCCGCTCTGCGCTGCACCCGGACATTGGACCAGACGACACTGCGCTTGTGCTCGAGCGCGGTTTGCTGCCGTGCCTCGGTGGCGACGTTCAGGTGCTCGACGAGCGCGGGGCGGCGGTGGCGATCGCAGGACGGCTGATGGAGGTGCTGAGGGCTGCAGTGTCGGACGCGGTCGAGACCGCTCTGGAGGCTGGCGCGTACGAGTCAGTCTTTCTCGCGCTGGTCCAGCTCGAGGAGGGCAAGGCTGGAGCGCGGAGCAAGCGCGGGCGGTCCGACCACGCGTCTGCCGCCGCCAAAGGTCTGGTAGCTGAGCTGACTCTTCCTGTCGACGCCGTCGAGGCTGCTGTGTCGACGGCGAGCCCGGAGCTAGGCCGCGAGGCTGAGTGCCTTGACGCGGTCACCGCCGCGCTTGTGGGTGAGTCCAAGGCGATGATTGCGGGAGCGCTGCGGAGCGCCCTCGAGCGGCGGTCGGTCCTCCGCGCAGCGGCGCCCGAGTTCAGCGGTGGTTCGAGCGAGCCGAGCCCTGAGCAGGCGATGGTCTCCGAGGTCGCGGGCGAGCTCGAGGTTTATGCGGCCGGAGTGCGGTACGTGGCCGAGCTGGCTTCGGGAGCGTCGACATCGCCCGGCGTCGCGCACGCTCTTGAGGCGCATGTCCTCAAGACAGTTGCACTGCCGCTGGTGGACGCGCTGGTAGCGTCGGCACTTGCGGCGACCGGCAGCGAGCTGCCGCAGCCTGTCACCGCGAGCAAGCGCAAGAAAGCAATCAAGACGCTGACCGAGCCGCCGCGCGACACATTACTGGCGCTGGTCAAGGCCGGCACACCGGGTAAGGCCGCCAAGAGTCCCGAGGCCCAGGCTGCGCTCGAGGCGCATCCGGCCGGCGAGCGGATCGACAAGTTCCTGGCAGCGCTGATGGCGGCGGCACCGGTCCTCGATCTCGCGCTAGAGGCGGGCTCGTGCGCCGAGCCGAGCGCCCAGGACGGCCGGCGGCAGGCGCACATGGCGGTGGTGGCGGACGCACTGGGCGCTGCCACCGATCCGGCCGACGCGCTCCAGCTAGTCCTTGTCTACCTCTTTGCCAGCGACCACCACGCGTTGGTCAACGTCGCCGGGCGCGACGTCGGGCGGATGGTGAGCCTCTACACAAGCGTGGCCGACAGCGCGGAACAGCTGGCACGGGCCGAGCTCCTCACCTCGCTCTACGACGTCACCTACGAGTGGCTGATCGGGCGGCGGGCGGACGCTGCGCTCGGAGCGCGGGCCGTCGAGCTTGTTCGCGACATGGGGCTTCTGCTTGGCGTGACCGCCGAACGATAATCCTTAACGGTACGGTCGTTTGGACGCGTCGTCGCGCATCTCAATGTGAACATCTCGATGATGCTTGACTTCCCGTTGGGAGGCGCGCCCGCACATGATGGCGGCCGACATGTAGATGCCCGCCTGACGAGTTGCCGTCGCGGTGACGGACGCCTGGGAGCACGCGCGAGGCGCGCGAGGTGCCGCACGGCGCCGATACGGCGGCGGGCGCGGACGGTGCGGAGCTCGTCGTTGACGACCCCGACGACCGGGAAGGAGAGCATGACAGAGTTGAACACAGCGGCCGGACGGGAGATCGCAAAGGCGTCTTGCGACGGACGAGCTTGATGGACATTGCGACGTCTGTGGAGCGTCATGGAGCGCGGCTTGCGCGATGGACAATGTCCATTCCGAACGATAAACAGGTGGGCCAATTGGCGGGCAGGGCGGCGCCAAATGGCCACCACCAACACTTCTCTCTGGGCAGAGCAGGGCGGCGAGGCTTGGCATGCCGCGGAAGGAGAAGCTTGTGTTCTGGCACGGGGTGCTGCACCTCGGGGCGGAGGAGCACCCGTTCTTTGACATCTCCATGCGGTTCGACGAGAACACCGAGGAGTGGCTGGTGGAGAGCACCGACGTGCCGCCACTGGTGGTCGACGACTCGCATGTCTTGGAGGTCCGCTGGCTGGTCGAGGCCGACGCTGTCGCCTGCGAGTCGCGCTTCCTTGTGGCCTCGGAGAAGCTCCGCATCCAGCCGGCCGAGCTCCCGTCGGTGCTTCCGGCGCGGCAGCGCCATCGGCGTGGGTCGACGGCCGGCGGAATGATGGCCGGCCCCTCGATCGCGTCTGCCATTGCCCGCGGCGGGGAGTCGAGCTCGGACGTGTCGGGCTCGGGCAGCCGGAGCCGGAGCGTGAGCGGGAGCGGCGACGGCGAGTGGGATCCGGGCGCGTCGGTGTGGGATGAAGAGCTCTTTGCCTCGCTGGCGGAGGAGCAGTCAACACGCGATGCGGTGGCCTCTGTCGACGCGCTCAAGCTGGAGCGGCGGGTGCTGGAGCGGGCGGCGCGGGAGGACCGCGACGTGCCGTCGCGGCACAGCCAGCCGTCACGGGTCTTTGCTTCTGTGGCCGGCACGGGCTCGTTCCGGTTGATGCGGCACTGGCTCTACGACGTGTGGCTGCTCAAGGGGGTGAGTGTTCGCATTCCTGCAGCACGGCTGCTCGCGCTGCCGGACGTGCTGCAGCCTGTGCGGTGGCGGCTGCCGACGACGACCAAGGCGCCGATTCTCAAAAAGGTGCAGCGGTCGATCCGGTACGGCAAGAAGCGGATCAAGAGGTAGCAGGGAAGGAGGGGGGGGGGGGGGGGGGGGAGGAGCGAGCGGCAGTCGATAGTCGCGTTTACAGGTTTGCCTTCTCAGCAACGCCAGCAAGGCGGTCATGGTCTCTGCGACCGGGTCCGCGGTTGAGCTTCATGTGACCGGACATGAGGTGGCCGGAGGAGAGGGCGGCGCAGAGCGAGAGCTCGCCGGCCATGACGGTGGCCGCGACGATGGATGCGAGGCGCTGGGCGTTGTTGCCGTCCTCGCCCGAGCCGTGGACGCCCATCATCTTGAGGCAGGCGGACTGGGCGGGGAGGGTGGTGCCGCCGCCGATGGTGCCGACCTCGATGGAGGGCATGTTGACCGAGACGTACAGGTCCTGGCCGTCGTTGATGTCCTCCATGGTGACGAGGCACGCGCTCGACTCGACGTTCTGGGCCGGGTCCTGACCCGCGGCGATAAAGGCGGCGGTGACGATGTTGGAGGCGTGCGCGTTCTGGCCGCCTATTGAGCCGGCGACTGCCGAGCCGACCAGGTTCTTGCAGTAGTTGACATACGCCATGGACTTCACAGACGACTTGAGGAGGGTGCGGACGACGTCGCCCTTGATGACGGCGTCGGCCGAGACGGACTTGCCGCGGCCCTCGACCCAGTTGATGGCAGCAAACTTCTTGTCGGTGCAGACGTTGCCGGAGAGGGCCATGACGTCAAAGTCGAAGGGGGCGTTCTCCGAGAGGTGGGCGAGCGCCTTCTCGACGCCCTTGCCGGTCATGTTCATGCCCATGGCCGCACCAGGCTTGCAGGCAAAGCGCAGGTACACAAGGTTACCGGCAAAGCGAGCGTCAATCGAGACGAGCTTGGCAAAGCGCGAGGTCGACTCAAACTGGGCGCGGACCTCCTCAAAGTTGCGCTCGATGTACTCGACAAACTTGGTGGCCTCCGAGAGCGACTCGAGGCGGAGGACCGGGGCGCGGGTCATGGCGTCCTTGGTGATGGCGGTCGTCGCGCCGCCGGAGAGGGTAATGGCCTTGCATCCGCGTGCCGTCGACGCAATGAGGGCGCCCTCGGTGGTGGCCATTGGCACCTGGTACACGGTGCCGTCGACCAGGAGCGGGCCGGCGACGCCGACGGGAATGGGCATGTAGCCCACGACGTTCTCGGCGCACCGCCCGTGGATGTTCGAGTAGTCGAAGCCCTTGTACGGCAGATCGGCGAGGGTGTCCTTGGCGTCGACAAAGGTCGAGATCTGGTCGTCGACAATGCGCCGCCGGATGCGGACCGCCCGCTCGTAGTCCTGCTCGAGCTCGTTCTCCAGATCAAAGAACTTGACCTCACCGTTGACCACAGCCTCCATGATCTCCTCATCGGTCATGTCCACCGGGCGCTTGGCCTCGCCTGCCGCCGCCTTCTCGGCCGCCACCGCCGCCTGCGAGCTGAACGCCGCACTGGCCGAAGCCGTCACCGCTGCCGCCACCGGCTGGGCCCATGCCCGGACGGCCACACGAGCCAGCCCGAGTCCCAGCATAGCTACTGTGTGCATGGGGAGGAGGAGGAGGAGGAGGAGGAGGAGGAGTGAGTATGTTTGAGACGGGTGGACGGAGGACGGAGAGTGTGTGTATGTGCGTGTGTGTGTGGGGTGGTGGTGGTGGTGGTGGTGGTGGTGGTGGTGGTGGTGGTGGTGGGTGGGGGTGGGGAGGGGGAGGAGGAAGAGCGTTGCCTGCGTCGCAGAAAATGCATCATCCACCGCCTCAACCCTATGGGGGTGGACGGGGAGGGGACGGGATGGGGTGTGTATGGTGTGTGGTGTGTGGTGGAGGGGATAGTGTGTGTGTGTGTGTGTGTGTGTGATGGTAGTGTGTAGGGAGTGTGCCTGTGGCTATGGCTGTGACAATGGCTCCATGTGTGTGTGTGTGTGTGTGTGTGTGTGTGTGTGTGTGTGGCTGTGGCGCCTTTCTTGCCCGTTGGCATGGTCGTACCTTGTTGTGAATGAATGAGAGGCAGAGGCCGATGCTGTGGTGAGCGAGTGGTGTGCGAGTGGTGAGCGAGTGGTGAGCGAGTGGTGTGCGAGTGGTGAGGGATGGGTGATGGGTGATGGGTGATGGGTGATGGGTGATGGCTGGTGGTTGATGGCTGGTGGTTGATGGGTGGTGGCAGGTGGGTGGCCTGGGTGGCCTAGGTGGCCTGCGTCTCCGGGTGTCGTGGTGCTGTTTACGGGTTATGGGTCATCGCGCGGATTGAGGGCAACCTTAAAGGCGTGCGGCTCGGCGATGAGTGAGAAGGGATGGGAGGTGGCATGCTGGCCGGCTTGGTAGCACTCTTCACACAGGTTGACGTGGTCTGCGCACGTCTTGCTCGCGCATTGGTAGCGCGGGCCGACAATGGGCGTGGCGCCGCATCCAGTGCACACGATCTGTGGATGATACACGGTCTCCTTGTCCATTCGCGGCGGGAGAAAGGTGAGGATCGACATGGGCGTCTCGAGCTTGGCGTACATGTGGGTCGGCACGCCCTTGTTGGCCTCGTAGCACTCGCTGCAGAGCGATTCGCTCAGCTCGCACCCGTCGTCCTTGCACAGGTACCTCGTCCCTGTGATCGGCTCCTCCGAGCAGCCATCGCACCGGATTCCTGGATGATACACCTCTCCTACCACCCGTCGTTTCAGTGTCCCCATCCCCGCTCACTCGGTGAGCACCTTGTCGTCCTGCCCGTCCCGCACCTGCCGCAGCTTGCGCCACGCGCGCACCACCGCCTCCCCCCTCCCCCTCTCGCACATGCCACTCCACCTCCTACATACGCTTCGAACCTCTGGAAGCCATCAGTCTCTGTTGTGGTGAGAAAGGTGTGTCGCTTCAAGCCCACCTCGCCCTCTCCCCCTCGTCGCCCTGTCTGTTGTTCGCTGCCATCAATCGTTCGCTGCCATCGTTCGCAACAATCGTTCCTTTACAAGCGTTCGCTACAATCGTTCGCTACAATCGTTCGCTACAATCGTTCGCTATAATCGTTCGCTATAATCGTTCGCTGCCATCATTCACCACCATCACCACCATCACCACGCACCATCACCACCATCACCACCATCACCATCACCACCACCACCATCACCATCACCACCACCATCACCACCACCATCATTCACCCGTTCGCCTGCCAACCACTTGATCGTTTCCTCTTGATCATTCCCCCCCCCCCCCCCCTCCCCCCTCCCCCCTCCCCCCCTCCCCCCTCCCCTCTCCCACCTCCCATACCCACACCCCTCCCCACACCATGCACCCCCCTCCCCCTCCATCCTCCTCTCCGCCTTTGCTCTCACTCTCGCAACGGCTGCTGCTGCTGCTGCTGCGCCCGTGGCCTGCACCCAGACGGCCTTCTTTCCGTGGACAGAGGTGACATGCGGCGAGTTGGCGCACGTGACGACGGTGACGGTGGCGAGCGCGGCAAGAGCGGCAGAGGCTGCGCACGGCCTGCCGCTTCGAAAGAGGCTCGCCCGATGGGAAGAGCGGAACAAGGTGGTGTCATCCTGGCTCGCCGCCCGCGGCAAGCCGGCAGAGCTGGGCAAGGTCCATCCCGACGACTTTTTCGAGTTTATTCCGACCTTTGTCACGGCGCTCCCGGCGTGGGTGTGAGCAAGGCGTGGAGCGGCCAGTCGTTCTCGCGGCATTGCTTTGAGACTGCGACGGCGTCGATGGCCGAGTGCGGCGCAAGCTGCGTCGAGATTACCATGGACGTGGCCGGCAAGGCCTCGCCGCTCTGTGAGGATCTGTATCTGTTCGGCTCGGTCGAGACCTTTCACGTCCACGAGTTTGCTTTGGCTGGGCGGCACCGGGTGACGCTCCGCGGCTTGTCGCCGGTGGAGCTGGCGGATCTCAAGGCCAACGGCATGCGGGTCTTCCACTTCAAGTCAGAGGTCCTTGCCGACGTGGTCGCCTTTGCCGACACCCTCGCCATGTTCTTGCAGGGCAACCTCCCGATCGGGCCGCCGGACGTCTCGGCTCACGAGGCCGCGCTCAACGTGGCCTTTCTGGAGGAGAAAATGCAGATCACGCTCGAGCCGCGGGACGCCGGCCTGGTCAACATGAGCCAGATTGTGCCGACGCTGGAGAACGGCGACTTTTTCGGCATCATCCGCCTCGACGGCCTTGATCCCATGATCGCCTGGGGCATGGGCTCGCTCCTCACCGGCCACACGGTAGCGGTGTGGAAGCCGAGCGTGCCCACCACCGTCAACGGCGTCACCTACCCGCCCGGCGTTTACATTACCGAGTCGCAGACCAAGTCGCACTACTGGCCGGTCAACCTCATCCAGATCAACCCCATCGACAAGTGGATCGAGATGGCCCACGCGGCTTCGTACAACGTCGTCCACCTTCCGCTCAAGCCCGCCGTCCGCGCCGCGCTCAACGAGTCTGCCATGGCCGCCTACCTCGACGAGGTCGTCGGCACTGTCTACGGCTTTGCTAACTTTCTCGTCGGCTGGATTGACTCGCCCGACGACAACTACCCGGAGCCACTCTCGCTCCAGCTCGTGGGCATCGTCTTTGCGCTCCTCGAAAAGATCTCGCCGCCGACCGCCGAGCTCATGTGGAACCAGATGCTCAATCACAGGCTCAACACAACCGGGCTCGACTGCTACCAGCTCTACGCCGAGATGGCCGCCCGCAACCTCAGCCTCGGCGCCGTCCTCTCCATCCCGGAGCAGGACGACTGGCGCTACCTCATGCCCGGCTGGGCCCATCCCGACAAGCCCATCCCGGCCTCGGTCTGCGACGTCCACGTTTGTCGATTCCTCAAGGCCGGTGGCGCCTTTGGCTCCCTCACCCCGCACATCCAGTGCACCGAGTTTACCAACTGGGACGTCTACTCGCTCGACTTTTACGATCCGACCCCGGCCCGCCCGCAGACCTGCGTCGACGCCGACCCGGACGCTCCGCTCTGCCAGCTCATGGGCACCATCAAGCAGCCGCTCCACATGGCCGGCTCCGTCACGCCCTATCCTCACATGCGCGAGCACTGCGGCGGCATCGCACCCAACTACTACTGGGGCCAAAAGTGCTGAGAGTGCCCAAAACTCGATCCCCTTTGGGGGCCGGAGCCGGGGAGGGACGGGGGGGGGGGAGTGCCTGGCTGGCACTCCTCCACCTCACACTCTCTTCGCCAGTCAATGAACCTCTCATTTCCGTTGCTCACTTTGCCTCTACCACTCCACTCCCTGA